AACTTAAACATAAACGCTGAACAGTTTTAAAGTCATTAATAAATAGCTCACAGTCAGGGTAGGTTTCCAAGAGGCCATTGAGCGCGGACAAGACGCGGGGAATAGGAGACGATGCACGGGCCACTGTGCGGCATGCGGGCACAGACAGTGGGCGGTGCCGACGAGCACGGAGGTAGTTAGTCGGAGCATGTAATCGCATCAGTTCATTATGAAGGTCAGGAACATCTATGATACCTCTGCAGATTTTAAGCATAATGTACAGTTGTCCAAACGCTCTTCTGGTCTCCAGCATATTGTATCCCAGACATCCACACAAGTATTTTGTTGGGTACATGTATGGATAGTAGCCTAGAGAGGATTTGTAAAGGAATCTTAAGAATTTATTCTGAACTTTTTCAAGCAGTAGAGAATAGGAGGCCTCGTGTGGATTCCAAATGCAGGAGCTCGCCTCCAACTTGCTCCTGACCAGCGTGCTGTAAAGGAGTCTTATGACGTGCGTATTCTTGAAATCTCGTGAGTTTCTCAGAACGAAACCAAGTCTCTTAAACGATTCCTTAGCAACCGTTGCAATATGATCGTGAAATGTCAGCTTCTGGTCAAATACGACGCCCAGGTCTCTCATAGTTGACGATCTAGATATAGAAGAGCCGTTTATTTTATAGTCGAAGGTAATGGGGTGTCGCTTTCGACCAAAAGTCATGACATAGCACTTAGAGGGATTGAATTCCATTTTATTTGCATTTCCCCAATCATTCACCAGGTCGATGTCCCTTTGAATAGCCTCACAGTCCGATATACTGTTGACACAAGCGTAGAGTTTTAGGTCATCAGCATACAAAAGACATTCTGCATGTTGAGGAACCTCCGGGAGATCATTGATCATTAAAAGAAACAGCAAAGGACCGAGAATTGAGCCCTGACTTACGCCTGAACGAGTGTGGTACGTGTTGGACTCGTAAATGCCCAACCTCACGTACTGCTGGCGGTCACGAAGGTAATCGGCCAATAGACGCAGAAGGTTAGGGCATACACCTATGGATTAAGTTTCGCGAGCAAGATATCATTGTTGATGCGGTCAAATGCCTTCCGAAAGTCAAAATAGGACGTCCACCTGCTGCCCTCTGTCAAGTTGTGATGAGATATACTCCGTTAAAGTTAATAAGTTAGATTCGACAGATCTCCTACGTCTAAAACCATGTTGAGCATTACTTAAGTATTTCTCAACTTGTGCGTATATAAGTTTATGGAGCACATTTTTTAGCGGATGAACTGATAGAAAATAGCAATTGGCCGGTATTCCTCTACAGCTGTTTTGTTAGACGTTTTAGGTATTGGGGTTACACGTGACACTTTCCATTGAAGAGGATAACAACCAGTTTTTAGTGATAAGTTAAATATATGGCAAAGTGGAGAGACAAATGAGTTCTTAAGATTTTTAAGAATCGTGGCTGGTATACCATCCGGACCTACAGAATTACCGACTTTTAGTTTATTCAACCCATCTAACACATCCTTACGAGAAAACCGAAGAATGTTGATATAATTACTGTTTTTTGTAACGTCGGCGTTGTTGGTATTGGTGGCGTCTAATAGTGGTATATCTGGCAGAAACACGCTGGCAAAAAACCTGGCGAAAGCCTGCGCGGCTGCAGTACCACTGTAACTGTCACCACAATAGCTCACCGAAGGCTCGAACCCACCCTTAGATCTTAAACTGCATATATGTCGCCAAAATTCACGCGGATTGACTCTTATGTTACTTTCGACCGTTCTAATATATGATTGATATGCAGAAGCAACGCGATGTTTAAGGCAAGTTCTAAGATCCGAAAAAGTCCTATAGTCTTCCTGGCGTTTAGAGCGCTTCCAAATAGCGTGCAGTGTGTGCTTTCGTTTGATATCTTTAGTTATTTCCGACGTAAACCATACGGGGTATCGCCTAGTTATTTTCCCAGAACGATGCTTCTTGGGCATGCAGGTATCGAAAGTGTCATAGACAATCTGATAAAAGGCATTCACCGCACCCGCAACGGTATGGGCCTGGAATACAGGATCCCAAGATGTCTCTGACAATAGCGAATAAAGCTGGTCGTGATTACATTTATAAAAATTCCAATCTTTCGCGGGGTTAATGTTGCTTGGATCCATTACATTAGAACAATGAACTGATTCAATTCTTACCTCAACGTCCAGCGGAGGGTGATAAGCATCCGGCTGAACAATACCATCAACATCAGATACAGACACCTCGTGAAAACCTTCCCCGACTAGTACAACATCCAATTTGCCACCATGGGCATTTAAGATATCATTTTTATCAACTAAACAACAAAACGACAAAAAGTAGCAGTAGTAATTAACTATATTATTTGATGCGCTATTCAAATTGAGATCACCCATTATAATAACGAAACCCTTAAAATTATTGACGAAACTTTCGGTTTTGCAAAACCAGTTCATATAATCTTCATCACTAGCACTTGGTTTGATATACACTACACACACTAGGAATGAGAGACCATGCCACACAAAGGACGCCCACAAATCTTCGCCGCTTTCAGTTTCATACTCGCACCTCCTGCGAAGTACGAGAGGAGTTCGCGCCGCTAGGAGGACGCCTCCACAAGGCGTATCTCTGTCTCGGCGCAGAACGCGCCAGTCACCACTTTCGAGCTCCGAATCTAAGACTGAAGAGTCCAGGAAGGTTTCAGTAGCAGCGACGATGTTTTGCTCTAACATGGATAGGTTGTTGCGCCACATTGCTAGCTTCGTTTTCAGACCTCGGACGTTTTGGTAGCACGTATGTAATATATATTATTATGTTTAACAGTTTTACTATTGTGGTTTTGTCGAAGTTGGCTTACGAAAGGGCTGACCAGTGACAGATTCTGTAGTTCATTTATTTTGGAAGTGCTCTTTCTATAGTTAATCCAGGGTTTTATCCTAGCATTCAGTGGCCAGATGTCGGCAGAGTAAATCCTATCGTAAAATTCAGCGGGAACTCCAATTTTGTATGATTTGTAATCCCCACGAGCACTTAACTCTTCAACGGAGCAGCCAGCAGTAGGATATAGCTGAGAAAGGTATTGACGAACTTCATCGATGTCGGAAGCCATATTCCACAGGTGGAAGTGTTTGCGTATTTCCATAGCCTTTAAATTGATTGACAGAGGATCAGCAGTTCCATGTAATGGTTTTTGACGTTGCCTATAGTTGCGCTTTTTTACCTCAATCCATTCCCCGTCATTTTGAGTATTGTGTTCTTGACTAACGACAGCAATAACGGACTGATCCAGTTCTTGAGTTGGTGGTATTATGTGATCAGTATGGAGATGTCGGGAAGCCTGGTGGTAGCTTTGAGAATTTCCTATCACCTGTTGTTTAGGCTGCTGTTTTACTGCAGTTGGTTTGATAGCTACATCCGTGTTGCTCAGCGAATTCGCGCGAGGTTCGTGCACAGCTCGCAGAGGCGTGGTCTGGATATCTTGCTTCTCATACTTTTCAAGCTTGTTATTTAATTGTTTTACTTGCAAAGCATACCTTTCTAACTTATCTTCGTGGCCGCCGATTAAGGTCAATGCCTTTGTGAGCAATTCTTTAAGAGTAGACATCTCCGAGCGTAGATCATGTATCTCCGATATTAATGCAATGTTGTCAACATAGTTACTCGTGGAGTTAGTTGAGACATTCTTCCGAAGTGTTACGTTAGGATCTTGTTTTACGCCCACCGGTGTAAAAGAATTGTCTCCACCTTTTTTTATAGCGCAACGACACTCTGGGCAGATCCACGTATCAATATCAACATTCATTAAGTTTCTAATGCCTGTGCACATTGGGTGATATAGTTTACCACAGTTCTCACGTGAGCAACGGAGAACTCCCTCGTCATCATTAATAATAACATTATAGCATGCAGAGCAATGCATATTTGGTGTAAGCAGATCAATTTGCAAGCGAGGAATAAGCGTTTATCAGTAGGCGATAACAGCAAGCGGAATGTTTATAAAATGTTGCTCGCTAGCAGTTGTGCGAGAACGAGCGAGTATCCGTGCGAGAGGGACAGCAGCAGCGAGCGGTGCGAGAACGAGCGAGTATCTGTGCGAAAGGGACAGCAACAGCGAGCGGCGCGAGCAGCTCGCGTAGGCGTCTGTCTTATGGCGGTTACAAACAATTTTAAAAACTAATTTGCTTATAACTTCACTAATAGTGCGTAAATTAAAGTCAAAACACTTAAGTTCAACAGAGTACGGTATAAGTTACACAAGTTGATAAGTTAAGAGCGTTATCACTGACTTTTAACCACTTTTAAAACAAGTAAACTGCGGAGGCGAACGAACGAGATGTTGCCTCAAACAGCGCGACGGCGGATCTGATGCTAATCTAATGCTCATCGGTTCATCCAACGGCGAAATAATAGTGCATAAATAATAAATATACATTCATATACATAAAGGTCCAACTTAAAAAGGCTTAGGTCTTCAAATCCTTGGTAATGTGTAAAAAACTAGAGAACTGACTGAAAGAACAGAACGTTATTTGTGGGGTTCATAAATTTGAAATCTTTATCTTTATATACTTACTAGCTTTTACCCTCGGCTTTGCTCGCGTCACAAAAGGATAAAAAGTAGCCTATGTGACATATACCAATACACACAGCGCCATCTATACCAATACTTTTGTTTTTCCTCGGGAATATCAAATTTTCCGGGTTATAAAGTACCCTATTATTTAGGATCCGGACTTCTTACTTTACTTCTGCAAAAATTCAAAGCAATTGGTTCACTAGTTACGGCGTGAAAGCGGAACAAACAAACAAACAAACAAACTCACTTTCCAATTTATAATTTATAGTATAGTATAGTAAGGAAGTAAGGATATTTGAGGACCGTTTCGAGTCATTATTTCAGCGCAAAATTTATTCATTGAACAAAAATAATTAATATCTGTTCCCACTTACAACATATTCTTTAAATCAAACCATCTCCCAATCCACAGAAACAATGGCAAGTTCGACCCTAGAACCAGGTCAGATCATCAAGCCAATCATCGACCACGAGGGAGTGAAGGCACTGGCCGAGCGACTGTACGGTATCTCAGTCTTAGAGCTGAAGGAACTGAACGGCTACGATGACAAGAACTACAAGATTGAGGAGGACCCCAACGTGAAGAATCCATTGATTACGTCACACAGCGAACATGGATATGTGCTGAAGATCATGAACTCTATAGACTCGCAGAACCCATCCGTCGTCGAGGCCCAGAATGAGATTATGAACTTTTTGGGTGAGTATTTAAGAGAAGAAGGATTAGAATTAAAATTATAACTAGATTTTACCCGCGGCTTCGCTCGCGTCACAAAAGGATAAAAACTAACCTATGTGACTATCCATCCGTTCAACTACCTTCAGTTAAAAAATCACGTTAATTAGTACCTCCGTTCTGCCGTTTAAGACAGGCAAACAAACAAATAGCTTTCCGCTTGCGTGGAATTCGGTTATATCGCGCTATTTAGATTTTTCCAATAAGTAGGTAAATCGTTGACTGGTTTTAAATGACATACAACGCCATCTATACCAGTACATACAGCGCCATCTATACCAATATTTTTGTTTTTTCTAGGAAATGTCAATTTTTTCCGGGATAAAAGTACCCTATTATATAATCCAGACTTCTAACTTTACGTCTGCAAAATTTCAAAGCAATCGGTCTAGTAGTTACAGCGTGAAGGCGGAACAAACAAACAAACTCACTTTCCGATTTATAATATAAGTAAGGATTATAAATCAAATCAAATCAAATAAATGATTTGATTTGATTTGATTTGATTGATTTGATTGATTATAATTCTGTCGTCGGCGGTATTTCCGAACCGATACGACCTTCAAATCTTCAAGAAAAGAGCGTATTCCTTTTTAAAAGGCCGGCAATGCACCTGTGACTCCTCTGGTGTTGCGGGTGTCCATGGGCGGTGCTGATTGCTTACCATCAGGTGATCCGTCTGCTCGTTTGCCTCTTATACAGCCTTACGCTGAAATACTCAAACGCTGCTCAATTTTAAGTCGCGCTTAAGTATAGTTCTGTCTCTACAAATTATTTGTATAATGACAGAGATGGCACGATATTTAAGTACTACTTAAAATTGAGTACCCTTTCAGTATTTGAGCGTTAGTGTTTCATAAATGGGCTCGCTGCCATTGCAGCGGTAAGTCCCCTCTTTGAGGAGTGGCTTGAGAGACGCTACGGCGTCCTCACCTACCGCCTGACGCAGGTCCTCACCGGACATGGAAGTTTCGGGAGGTACCTGTGTCTGATGGGGCGGGAGGAAACGCCCGGGTGTCATCACTGCGAGGACCGCCCTGAGGACACGGTGGAACACACCGTAGCGGAATGCCCTGCGTGGGCTGAGCACCGCCGTGCCCTCAGGGAAGTGATCGGCGATGGCGACCTCTCGCGTCCGGGCCTAGTGCAGGCCATGATGCGGAGCGAGGGGGACTGGGATGCCGTCTCCTCCTTTTGCGAAGCAGTCATGCTAGCTAAGGAGGAGGCGGGACGCGTGAGACAGCGAAGCGCTGCCTCCTCGCGACCCAGCCATCGCGAAGGACACACCGGGCGTCGGGGATCGCGGGACGATCTCCGGCCACCGTAAGCGCGGGCCTGCGGACGGCGAGCATGGGTGGCTCCCCGTCCGACCAGAAACAGACCCGAGCGTACGGCGCGTCGCGTTCCGCGCGCGCCTCAAAGAGCCATCAGACCACCACAGATGGGGCCCAATAGGGCCGATGCCGATTCGGAGTCGCGGAGAACCTAACGGGTAACCGGGGCTCCGGCTCGACGTGCAGGAGAAGGAACGGGGTGGTTTTTAGTCAGTAAGAGTCTGACACTCCCTTCCGCCTCACCCAGGCGGGAGCAGTCATTCGATGATTTTCCCCCCTTAAAAAAAAAAAAAAAAAGTGTTTCATAAAAGTCTTGAGAGGTCTTTCTCATTTAATAATTAGCATGAAGTCAGTCTTAAAAATTGAACTGTTAAAGACCATTATGATATTTGCCTTTTGAATGACTCCGTTAGCTAACAAAAGAGAGTTTCACTCACTCAAACAGTTTAAGTAAAATTGTGTGGAAATCATTAAAAGTCTCATAGTACTATACCACAATCAAGAATCAGAAACAAAAGAACATACATGCAGAGGTGCACATTATGCCACTGTACAATGTATGAATGTAACACCCAGTTTTCACTATTTATGTTATGAGTCCCATGTAATAGAGGGTGAACCTATTGCCATATACCGGGCACAATTCCAGACTCCGTGCTAGTACTGAGAATTTTTTAAAAACCCAGTAATAATTTGCCCGACCCGGGAATCGAACCCGAGACCCCTTGCCCGGCAGTCGCACTTGCGACCACTCGGCCAACGAGGCAGTCAAAAGAACACTATATGACGCAAATCATGAATGTGTCGGAGGCTAATGTAGTATGCAAGGGTATCAAGACTAGATGGTGCTCAAAAGTCTTGGCCTTATTTATTTATTTAAAAAGGATCTCCAACAGAGAATACACGTAACATGCACAGTGTTAATACAATAAACAGATACCTTGTGCTTCTCCAATTATAGGAGATCACGACATGCAAACAAAATAAAACGTAATTTTGAATATAAAAAGTCGAAAATTGTTAAATCAGGAAACAAAACAAACGATGTAAACAGAAAACAATGATAATGAAAAGACAATAAATTAACGTATAGGTACTTCAGCACCTATGTACCAGTGAGCAATGTGTGAAGCAGGGATTTGTATTTCTCCAGTTTATTGGAGACAATATCAATTTCCGTGGAGTTACAAGCTACGGTGTTATACAGGTTTGGCCTTGTTTGGATAGTATGTAAAAAGCACCAAGTTTACTTTGGACCTTCTCACCAGGTACTCGCTCCATCACATGCCCGAAGCCAATCCGCAACGTGTATGGCCACCTGCACTCCATCGAGAACATCGGAGGCAAGCAGCACGCCGTGCGCCTGCTGGAGTACGTGCCTGGTGAGCTGCTGCAGGGAGTGCCCAAGTCTGAGCAGCTGTACTACCAGGTCGGGGAGTTTGTCGCCAACCTGGATAATAAGCTGCAGGTGAGAATTGTTACTTAATTTGGAATGGAAAGGACTTTTGGCAGATAAATGACAGTTTATGAAACGATTTGAAATTGCCTTATTAGCGGAGTGATCGCAAGTGCGACTGCCGGGCAAGGGGTTTCGGGTTCGATTCCCGGGTCGGGCAAAGTATCTCTGGGTTTTTTTTAAATCTCAGTAGTAGCACGGAGTCTGGAAATGTGTCCGGTATATGGCAATAGGTTCACCACCTACTACATGGGACTCATAACATTTATAGTGAAAAGTGGTTGTTACATTGTACAGTGGCATTATGTGCCGTAATGTGCACCTCTGCCTACCCTTTCGGGGATAAAAAGGCGTGATGTTATGTTATGTTATGTTATGATTTGAAATTGTATAATGACTATGTTTGAGAATTCTTCGGAATGAGCTGTCCCTAACTGAAAAGAGCGTACTCATTCTTAAAAGGCCGCCAACACACTTCTTAATACTCCTCTGGTGTTGTGGGTGTCCATGGGCCGCGATGATTGCTTATCATCAGGTGATCTGTCTGTTCCTTTCCCTCAGATCTCATAGTACTAGTGCTAATATTATCAATGCCAGGCAGCCAGTAGTCCATTCTAGAGTTACTTGCTTACTTTGATAATATCAAACCAATAAATCAATGAATGATGGACAGTGGTGCCAGAACATACTCGTGAAAAGCCGAAAGCAAAAGTAACCAAAAATATTTAACATAACATACATAACATAACATCACGCATTTTATCCCCGAATGGGTGCCATAGGAGGTAGACATTACAGCACTTAATGCCACTGTACATACAATGTAACACCCTCTTTTCACTATTTATGTTATGAGTCCCATATATACATATATGTATGCATTTACAGTTATGCATAATCATAAATTTATTTATATAGATTTCTCTGTGTCACAAAAATTTAACCATTATACCTATTACACCTACTGTTGCACATCTCTGCATCACCCCATGGTTGACTGTTAGAGAATACGACCCGGCCATTAAGTCCGCCATCGTATGTTTATTTATACAGAAGTGTTAATAAGTAAATAAATAATAGGGGGTGAGCCTATTGCCATATACCGGGCATAGTTCAAATATTTAATAAGAATACGCATTATATGGAACAAAGTCATTTCGCAACACAACAGTACGTACAGCTAGCTGGTCAGAGCAAGGTCCCGTCAGTCTGTATTATCCTTTTGTTAAAGTCATTGTGGTCGTATGTAACACACATTATACTGAACATCCAACCGATGTGAATGACGATGGATGTGGCATTTAACCTTACATGACATTGAAATGTTTGGCGATTAATTACTGACATAATATAATGTACCGTTATAAAAATGGATATGGTATCTCTGTATCTATTGTGTATACTTATACATATAGTACCTACATGTAACAATGCGAGTGCTGAATTTAAACGTAAATAAATTATAAGGGAAAAGAACAACCGACAATTGTAGGCCCTATCATCGCTTACCACCAGACGAGATAGTGGCCAAACATTGGCCCATCAAGTATATAAAAGAAATTGTATAAAATAAAAAAAGAATTGATTTGATAACTTTTCTTTTCGAATGTAATGTTCGTTTTTCAATTCTTGATATTCTCAATAAAATCACAGAGTTTTGGAATGGTGCCCAGTTAATGGAATAACGATTGTCCCTATTACGTGGAGCTCGTAACGTAACTAACATAAAGGGGATGGAAAGAAGGCACGATGTTCCATACGACGATTTCCTAAATGTCATTAAGTGAATGGTTTTCTTTACAGAACTTCAACCACTCCGGGCTGGTGACCCGCGAGCACACGTGGATGCTGACCAAGGTACCCGAGCTGGAGAAGTTCAAATACGTCATCAAGGATGCTGAGAAACTGGAACTCGCTGAGGAGGTGAGGAAATATCGACAGTCTAATTATATGGATGAAATTCTTACCCCATCTTTGGTTAGTTAACTTGTCTTGACAAGAAAATAGGCTTAATGAAAATTGACTAGATTGTAGAGTCCAGATTATCAAAACTTGACATTGGTATCATGTAAACACATATATAAATTCATTACTTTTTCTAAAGGACTGCACTGTAAGTAAGTAATTTGAGAGTAGTTAGAATCCTTCTCATTTGAATTTTATTGAGAGCATCACCAAGAAGTATTTAATCCATTTAAGCACGCACGTGTTCCTATAAAGAATCAATGAAGAGCAATCGTCAAAAAACAAAAGAGAGTCTCCCTTTTTCTTATTACCATACATTCATAAAATCTATTCATAAACTGTACGCAACTGCTCTATTTGAAGGTTCTGTAAAGAGGTCAATAAGTATATAACCATAGTAACTGTCCCGTGTGTGTGCGTGTGTGTATCAAGTTTAATATAAATCACCATGTTTATTGCAGTTTATTGCCATACTCATGTAATTAGTGCTATTGAAATATTGCAGATTGCGATGTAACTGTCACACCGATATAATTAAATACCTATTATGTTTGTCATACAGAGCGCCATCTACTTTAATTCTGAAGGCTTCTTTACGCTTTACACTTCATCAATTTAATGCATTAGCTGATTACACATGTCCTTTTTTAACTGCCCAGTCCCCAAGCAGTCATCTCTCCACTTACTCCATTATAGACCTTATTTCCAATTGTTCCAATCCGATTTAATGGGGTCTCCCATTAGAGACTACTTTTTATTTTATTTGAATTTTTATATATTATAAGATTTTTTCTTGCTTGTTCTTCTCCATATGATTCTACATTTTAGAATGAACACATAGCTTCACTGACGGACATACAATGTATTGTTCTATATTATTTGCGTTCCAAAAGTTAGAATAAATGCTTTGACTTCGGTGGAGAGTACTCCAGCCATGTTATTTAATCTGGTTTATGTTTATTGGTCCACATTTATTGTATTGTATAGTACTGTAGTGTGTTAGTTATGTGTTGATTGCATTGATAAGTGTCAATTGAATAACAAGTGCTGGGATCATTGACCTGACTGGTTCTGATATCAGACTGCATGCATGCATGCATGCATGGGTGAATTATTATCATGAAGTATTGTAAAGTGCTTGTTATTCAGTCTACTCATCGTTATCTAATAGCTTTAGTAGTCTTTTTAATTGCTTGCTTTTAGCTTTTCTGTGTTGTCCTGAAGGGTGTAGTCTGATTATCTTCAAGGCTCAATTGAATAGACGTCATAGCAGGCAGCATCATCGCTTACCATCAGGCGAGATAGTAGCCAAATCCCGACCCATTTCATATATAAAAGACATCGCGAATTTTGTCATTTAAATTATCATTCCTATTTTCGATTCATTAACTTTGACTCTGTTTTTTTGATGAGCCGACGTTTGGCCATTATCTCGCCTGGTGGTAAGCGATGATGCGGTCTACGATGGGTCACGTCGTCCCATAAGCAACCTATTCATTCTACATGTTTCCATCGCCACCACTGTCAACTCTCACGTGTTTCTCGTACACACGGGTGTACGAGAAACACGCGAGAGGATATAGAATGCTTGCTTTTAATGCTCTATCAAAATAGATAATTTGGTCCTGAAAACTTAACGCGTGTTGCAGTCGCGATGAGATGATTATTCTCTTTCCAATTTTCAGACCAAAACCTCTGAACCAATTAAATTATTTAATATCGTCGATTGTCTTTTGTGAAATCCAAAATTAACTATGATAATGTTGTTATAGGTAATAGAAGAGTTCAAGTACGCAGTTGTGCCACGACTGGACGAGCTGGAGAAGGGTGTAATCCACGGAGACGTTAACGAGATGAACGTACTCGTCGGCCTGAAGGAGGGAGGCAGGTCGGTATAAGTAATCAAACTTCAACACATACCATAAATCATGTAGTCAAATATTTGTCACTCGCAGATCTTAAACACTTTTGTGAGTAATTAAAAAAAAATACGAGTTACTCGCGTAAATGTACTGAGGAAAGCTCTGTTAGTTTCGAGTCACAGATGGACGTCGCCACGACCGTACACGCTGCTCATGAGGAAGAGCCTCATGAGCAGCTTGGACGTCGTACGACGTCACATAAGTAGCCTACTGGCGTGACAAATTCAATACTTTTATTGAAATGTCAAAAACGATACTTTTCTATGAATTTTGTATTGGATCGCAACTTATGACGTCATCATATTTCTGCGTCAAAGAGCATACTTATTTCCTTAAACTGTCAAACACCAAGCGGTCACCGGTGACCGCGACCTATTGTTCTTTAATTGTGTCTATAAAACCGGTACTCGACGAGTTAAAATTAGCGAGAATAAATCCAAAAGTAGGTAAATTGTCAAATCAATGGATGAGAGTATGATTATTTTTTAATTATTTATTGCATTGAAAAGTTGAAACAATTTATTTTTAACCTAGGAAACTATATAGCCAATTGTCGTTAGTTAATTCAGTATGTCACACGGTAGTTATTTTAAAAACTTTAGTGGTTTCAATTTTTATACATTATTTATATTGTACGTTAATAGTAAAAGTATATAGAATATAGACTATATATCCCAAGGAGTGGCCTACGTTCGCCAGACGAATTATCCAGACCGTTAACTAATTAACTGAGAATTATTTAATAGATGTGTACATACTTACTAATTAGAATAGATAAAGGGGCATACAAAGTAACCATCTCATTTGTAGACACAGTACCACTGTCTAAGCATTATACTGCTCATTAAATATTTGTTCTACAATATGTACACAGATTCTTACAGTTAATCAAGTTTGTCTTACATCAGGTTTCATAACGTGTCCTATCAGTTTGTTGGTTTGTTTATTTTCCATGATATTGTGAAGACTTATCAAATAGTAAGTTCTACTGAATATCCCGTAGTATCTTATCATGAAGCTAAAATGATGAAACTCTATGGAGATAGCGACTTACTGACTCTTAACTTGTTTAGAAAACATTAGGTACTAAAGAATCAAACGGTTTATGTGTAAAAAAAGTTAAGTTAATTTGATATTTACTTTTTAAAATTACCGATACGGCAATTTTAAATTTGTTTGGTACCCAATCGATAGATGGCGCTGTTTACAAGTTTTCATTCAAATATTTTGTCGTCAATTTAGGCCCCTGAACTGAAACCATCAGTATTGAGGGTTTGCACTCAAATTCTTAATGGGATACTGTTGAGGTGAGCCAGAATAGTAAGTTTAAACAAAATTATACATTATTTCGCTTTTCAAAGTGAATAATTTGGCTTGCTTCGAACTCGACATTGGTATTATTTGGTACAGGGGTCTATTTGTGGCAAATTAACGCAATTTGAAACAGATGCAATGCATGAGAAATAAACAAACCAATAACTTATGTGTTTCTTTGAGCCCTCACTTACTTCTCGTTTCTTCTTAATCTCCATAAACCTGGTAGACAAAGTATTCGAGTGTTTACAGTTTTAGAAAATTCTCACAATGTCTAGAATTGTGTCTAGTCTTAATCAAAATTTAGTAGAGACATACCTCTGTGACAACTAGAGAAAAGTAAGGAAATATCTACTTTAATATTCCAGAGTAAGATATGCATACACTGGGCAAAATCCTGACTCCATGCTCTTACTGATAATCTTTAAAGAATAAATACTCTTACTTTATTCTAATTCCACATTTTCTCTTTTCTACAGCAAATCCGACTACCGCGTGACTGGCATCATCGACTTCGGTGACATCCAATACTCATACTACGTGTTCGAGCTGGCCATCACGATGACGTACATGATGCTGATCGCTGGAGACCCTCGCGTCGGAGGCTACGTCCTCGCTGGGTACACGGTCAACAGGCGTCTGCCTGACGACGAGTACAGGCTACTTAAGGTAGGCCAGAACTTCTTTGTCGTAGTTCTAGTTGCCTTTGGTGATAAGTTTAAAACAAAAATTTATCGATCTCTAGTGTTTCATAATAAAGATAAAATTTTGACATAGGCTTCACATTAAATGTGTTAAAATTCTATCTGCAAGTAAAACATTTTTTTCATTGAAAAATGAACGAAATGAAGATCCCAATTTTTATAAAAATACACCAATTGCATGTTAATATAGTTCATTTTATTTAAAACAGATAGCAGCACTTGTAGTATTATAGTGCAGGTTTTAACCAGTAGATGCCGTTGTTATCTATAACTTATAACTTCAGCTACTCACTGACAGATGGCGCTACAAGTTATTTAATAACATTTTCTTTACAGACATTGATCTCATCCCGCTTAATCCAGAGTTTGATTCTTGGGGCGTACACTATTGAACAGGACCCTAACAACACGTACGTTACATCGACTGAAAGAGCTAACGGTTGGGAATTATTGAAGAAGATTCGCAAATCGAAGCCCACGGAAGATGTCGACCCAACTGACTGGAAGGAAATCGCCAACGAATACTTGACCAGGAGCTAATTTCCTCAGTTAAAGAAGTTTATTTTTGTACAAATTATTTTAAAAGTGTTTGTAATTGTATTATTCTTTTAGTTTTTGGAAAATATTTATAATATTCCAAGGCCCAGGAGCCGAACAATTTTTAAATATTATGGATAATAATAATAATTAAGATCAATGCAATGTAGTATTACAAATTAAGATGTATTAATTAGACCTTAAAGTTAATGTATTAATGTTCGTTTTTCAATGTCGTAGTAGTGTTTCGTTTACATACTAGGTATGTTTTTTATAGATGGTTTAAAATATCAATGTTAAGAGTCGTTGTATTAAATAAAGACTATTTATTAAAGACAACAATCATACACTTTATTCCCCTAGATATAATTATCGTACGAAAAATCCACAACATTTGTTCATACAAAAGTAGTCTCTAAACTTTCGAAATAAGGTCTATAATGGAGTAAGTGGAGAGCAGTTACGGATTGTATGTTGAATGGGTTAAAAGGCTAAGGGATATTGACCTCCCTTAGTGTCTAGTAATAAAAAAGTAATGAATATAAAGTCGTAGTTGCAACATAATTAGAAATAAAGTCTTCAACAGCCACAACTAGCCAAAAATATTTTACAACTTACAAAGTATTATTTGTTTATTTCTACATAACATCACATAACACGCCTTTCTTCTCTGAAGCGGTAGGCAGAGGTGTACATTATACCACTGTACAATGTAACACCCTCTTTTCATTATTTATGTTATGAATCCCATGTAATAGGGGGTGAGCGTATTGCCATATACCGGGCACAATTCCAGACTCCGTGCTTCTACTGAGATTTTTTTTTTAAAACTAGGTAGTAATACCGAGACCCCTTGCCCGACAGTCGCACTTGCGACCACTGGGCCAACGAGGCAGTCTATTTCTGTTTAATATTATTGAAACCTTCTCATACTTTTTCGCCATAAGAACCTTCTGAGCTTTTTAGGGAATAAACTGATAAACGAGCATACGGATCATCTGATGGTTAGCAATTGGCGCCGCCCATGGACACCCGATACACCGGAGTTGTTATAAATGCATTACGGGCGTTTTGGGGATTAGGAATTTTAGAATTGTTGGGAATTCATACATCGGGAAGATTGGGGAGGGTGTTTAATAAATATTTCGAATTTTTTAGAATTTGCATGAAATTTTATAATATTTAGTCATTTAAGATTTATCTAATAATAAAGCGGCTGTTATTAAATGGCTTACCTAGTTGATAATCATTTTATTTATGGTACCTACATACCGTATACCCATAATAAATCAATATACAGCAAACTGTAAAGGAATGACGATCATTTCAAAATAACGACTCCCAACTATAATAAAGTTTACAATAAAAATCAAATGATCAATAAAATACACTTTACATTTAAAATTGTAATCTTGATTATGGTAGTTGCCTGCAGACAGTTAAGGGGCTCCAATCGATTTTTAACTCAATTATAAGGCGATAAAGTAGAAATTCAATTAAAGATATTTGATAGAATGGGATAGCTTGACATGCGAGTATCAGTACTTAGGATAAAAGCATCGTTTAGTTCAGCATTTTTCCGTCAATAGCTAGGTAAAGTTGTTCTATCAGAATGTTCTCATCAGTCGCTTATATCCACATCATGTCTACTTCGTATAATAAATAAATAAAATACCAATTTATAGCTTTGCCTCCAGCTAAGGGAATTAGATAGCATCTAGAAATCCAGAGACTTGATTTATACTTTTTGTTGAAATAGTTCTGCTATTCGATGATAGATGGCGCTTATTAAATAATAACTGAACATGGTACGTGCTATAACTCATTGATAAATTGTACATAAACATTATCCGTTATATTCAACCTGTATCTAAGGTAAAACTTATCATATTTGTAAATCAAATTAATAAATAACCATAATATGCCATAATATAAATAACCACACAGGTTACCTTTAATATTTTTTTTGTGAAGTGCTAACTATTCGCTCTACTAACTATAATGCAGTCTAAATGATCAATTACTTAAAATATCAAGTATATTTTTGTTTAATATAAACTTACTGCAATTACTCTTGTTTACAACCCATCCAGATCCCATCTAGTGCTTCTCAGTAAACTGTGGAATTCTTTTAACATAATAATGAAATTGTTGATGACAAAAATAAATGCAGTGCCCTTTTAAAATAACAATAAATAACATCGTCATATCTTGAAGAACATGTTATGTGATTCCATTAAAATTGTATTCCATTTTGAGGAACCACTACCAAATAACCTGACTTCGGAATTTGTCAAGTTTTCGACATAAAATCTTCTACCCGCAACTTCGTCCGCGTAGACCAGTGACTTTAGGCACATTCTATATTTTTAAAATATAATGATTCGGTATAATACATGTTTGCTTATAAGCTGTACCTACAACAAAAGTAGTTTCGTTAAGATCCGTTCATTAGTTCCGGAGAATAGTGCGTGCAAACAGAAAAACACATTTTTTTTTAATTCAAATAATCTATTACTGTTTTTCAATCACCCTATTTTTGTTTTCACAAATATATATAGGACATACTTTTTTATTGTTTTATTATTGCATAGATTAGCTTCTGCCAGCTTTACCTGCGTTCCTAAAAACTACTAAGCCTACGTGTTATACCAGATCATCTACCACTGTTCCAAATTTCATCCAGATCCCTTCAGCTATTTTTAAGAGGTTGAGCAATAAACATATACACAAACACACAAACTTTCCCATTTATTATATTACCGAGAAGATATGAAGATCGTCAGTAATTGCAATTAATTAAAGAGTAAAAAATGCTGGCAGTTTTTACTGTTGCAACTCTGATTGAGTTTTTATAATGTCCCTGTTTAATTATGCAAGCGGCGCGCTCTCGTTGCAGCGTCTTCGTGTAAGTTACGATCGGTCGAGTGAAAAAAGGTAATTAAATTGAAACTAATTATTTATTTAATTAACGTATTGTCTTTTATGGGTGTGGCCTTATGTGGCGTGTGATGTGTCGGGGATGGGCGGCAGGGTCCAGGCGTACATCGGTTTGTGTCTGAACTTGGAAAAGGGTTTCTTGTGTAATTATATTTTTATATTAGATTAAATGTATTTTCTTCTCTCTGTCTGTAGTGCTTGCCTGACTGTGTGCAGCTAACTATACGGTAGTTTCCTTAATTTTATTTTAATGTCCGTCTGATAGATTATTTTAAAACATTAGACACGTATTTTTTCTCACAATTTAAATGCTTTTGACGATATAATGATTTGCAATGTCATGTGACGTCACAGCGTGCTACAAAATGTAGTATGTTGTGACGTAATGACCTCCCACTCCTAAACTTAACTCCATTTTATTTAAGTAAGTATTGTAACTTTATACGAGAAAATAAAAAATACGTGTCTAATATTTTTTCATTATCTAACTGACGGACTAATCAGGTTTTTAATTTTCCTACCCTGGAAACTACCCTATTTTAGCTTGCTTTTATCTCTTGTTGCTTGGGATGACACATTGTCTATTTTCCATTCTTCTTTTTTTATCATCATTATCATAATTTCTTATATCTTTCATATCACTCGTATATATCTTTCACACAATACATAGTTATGCTTTTATTTCTAGCTCAATATAGAATAGACAATAATATAGTCTATTCAGAAGTCACCACAGTCAACAACTTCTGAAGTTGCTCCATGGGGGAGCGAAACATGTCGAGAGTGGTTCGAGTGGTTTGTTGCGTGTCGTGTGTAGTTTGTGCCACATCTCTGCTGCATGAGCTTTTACCTGCGGTCGGGAGGGCGGTGCTGTATACTGCACGTTGCAAATTCATTCCTTCAGTGCAATAAAATCTAAATAACTTCTCAGTGGTTAGTCTAGCTCAATAGTTTAATACTCATAAAAATATGGATAGACGTCATCAAATACCATTGCATGCTAAAGAATCTACGAACTTTGCTGGCTCAAGAAGTCTTCTCTACCAAACTTTAATTCTTTATCCCCAACATCACAAAATAGGTCACTGTCATAGAAATTTGGTCAGATGGCCTAACCACCACACAGACATGCAACTCAGTACAACGTCAGAGGTCGTGATCCTCACAAGCTCTGTTCAAAGCAAACCTCATTACACGCTGATGTAATTAATCATTCTCATCAAACGTTTGCACTCATATAATTACACGTAATTACAGAGGTCGGCGATTAAGACGAAATAAATTAATATTAGCATCACATACAAACTGTGTTACCTTTACCATCTGTTGTGTGGATTGCACTTTCTAATTTATTTATGTTTTGTGGGAATACCAGATTGTTCGTTTCTGGTGTATATTCAATAACATTGGAATTTTATGCAATATGTATGACGTTGTTCTGGTTTTTTATCGATATATTTTTGTTTGTATTTTTTATGGAATTCTAAGAACTAGTTGTCGTTGGCTGATTTTGAGTCGTTATCAACGTATCACGCTTGCTATATTCTTATTCTTAGCCCATCATCAATTATTACCTATAAGCCTTCAGCAGCTTCAACAACTTACGAAAGGTAACAGGACACCTTCAGATAGGATTCATCTTCGGTTAGATTTCATTAAAAAGTAGTGCAAACTTGCAACACCTCACTACGTGATGCAATGTTTTGTATAGTTCCTCTTGTAAAGCTATCGAACGTTTTTCTTTCAAGTTTTAATTAATAGCAAATGTAAGCAGCTATCCTGTCTACAATTACCAGTTCATACTGATATCCTGGTAACAGTACCGAGTGATATGTTGGCAATATTTATGAACATAGCTGACAACATCGCGATGCTAGCTGACGGCCGCCGGCGCGTCATTACTGTCTCTTAATGATTTATAATTAAAGAATAACGGAGCGCCCGCTCCCGCTGTGTTCCTGGTACTTGCCCGCTGCTATGACACTGAGTATAATAAATAATCTAGGTACCTACCTACATAAGCTGGTAAGTTATGCCAGAAACTGTTAAAGAAACTCTTCAGT